GCACCAAATGCTATACCAAAAGGTTTTGTTGATGCAAAAAATGCAACAGAAAATATTCTTAAAGATGTTGCCTTAAGTGAAGAATTATATCGTTGTGGTACAACAAAAGTATTTTTTAAAGCCGGAACATTAGGTCAATTAGAAGATATGCGTGATGCTGCTCTTTCAAAAATTGTAGCTTGTTTACAAGGACAAATACGTGGTTATCTTATGAGAAAAGAATATAAGAAAATGTTAGATCAACGTTTAGCTTTATCTGTTTTACAACGTAATTGTCGTAAATATTTATTATTACGTAATTGGCCATGGTGGAAATTATATACTAAAGTAAAACCACTTTTATCAGTTGCAAGACAAGAAGAAGAAATGAAAAAACTTGAAGAAGAATTTAAAGCATTAAAAGAAGCTTTAGAAAAAGAAGAAAAATTACGTAAAGAAATAGAAGATAATAATGCAAAATTAGTTCGAGGTGAAATAGAAAAATAAATAAATAAATAAATAAATAATTTACTGTATTCTATATATATTTTAGAAAAAAATGATTTATTTCAACAATTAGAATTTGAACGAGCTGGTGCATTAGAAGCCGAAGAACGTTTTACACGATTAGGTAAAATATTATCTTCATTGTGAATATAGATCGAAGTTTGTCCGTCTCGTTTTATATCCTAGCATTGACAAGCTTTTCAATTGATTATTGATAAAGAAAGTCAGGTATAGAATTTGATGATATTGAATCTAAAGTTAGTATACCGCGAAGTTCTATTATAGAGATGGGAATCAAATGAAGATGTCTTTATTCATTTGGTTCTCCGGATTACAAATCCATTAGACAAAAAAAAGAAGTTGACGTATATTCCATCACAGTTTGATAAATAAGAACAAAACACAGATCATGTGTTATCTTAAGAAAAAAAAGCGAAGTAAAATACCAATTATCATCTTCTAGACTTTAATTGAATGACATCTCTCACTATCCTATTTCGACAGTCGTTATGTAATAGTTGAGCACGATAAACTCAAGGCAAGACCAAATAAAAAGTCTTATGAAAAATAGCAATTCATATGGTATGAAACTGCCGCTTATTGGTTCAAATAAATCACACAGATACAAAAAACAAGAATAGCAGTTTACAAGTTAAAATCAAGGATATCTAGTTTTTGTAAACATAAATCGTGGTTGCAAATGAGTAATCACATGACCTAAGCGTCTGCTATAATTTAAATATTCTTTGATAGTTGTTCATTTACAATTTCATAATAATCTTTCGCTTGAATAAGTTTAAAAATAAAAAGACATTTTAATTTTTAACAATATGCATATGTCAGAAGAGCAATACATATGTCTAAGCACTTCGAGATTGTTAAATGATGTCTGCCTATTATTTTTTATATATCTGTTTAAGTTATTGTTTTCAAATAAAGTATTTTTAGTGAAACAATCTATTATGCTATTATTGTGAGAGTTTTCAGCTAATTGTCATAGCTATCAGTTTTCGCTGTTTTAATGTTGATAGATGAACTCAATGCATGAAATTCCGATCTTTTCGGTGTCAGTTATCTTATTGTTCTCACGTTTATTAATATCGAGCTTTTATGATTAAATTTATTATATAGAATTTACTTTCTATTGTATGTTTCCTATTAAACGAATAAATGATCTTTGACTGTACATCAAACGTTTGTTGAAGGAAAAAATAGAAAAATACGTAGTTGGCTCGAAAAAAACAAGAAATTTAAGTAAACTATTAGTAATATGTGTGAAAATAAGAATATTTTTTTGTTCGTGACAATGTGAATCGAATTCGAATGAAGATTTTTTGTTATTCGTTGCGGTCTTTGTTCTATTATCTTGAATTTATAATACTTCTAATCGTTTTAATGCATTTATTTTTAGTTACACAAAAAGCTGATTTTGAACAACAAGTCAAAGACTTAGAAGAACGTTGTAATCAGGAAGAAGAAATCAATCAAGAAGTAAATAATAAACGAAAAAAATTAGAACATGAAATTGATGGTTTAAAAAAAGATATTGATGATATGCGTTTAAATTTACAAAAATCTGAAAATGAATGTAAAACACGTGATAATCAAATTCATAGATTACAAGATGAAATTGCACATCAAGATGAAACTATTGCAAAATTAACCCGTGAACGTAAACGTCTTGAAGAACAAAATTCTAAAGTAACTGAACAATTACAAAGTGAAGAAGATAAAGTTAATCATTTAAATAAATTAAAAACTAAACTTGAACAAACACTTGATGAATTAGAAGATACTTTAGAACGCGAAAAAAAAGCTCGTAATGATTTAGATAAAAATAAACGAAAATTAGAAAATGATTTTAAAGCATTACAAAGTAGTTTTGAAGATTTACAAAAATCCAAACATGATTTAGACGAACAACTTAAACGTAAAGATCAAGAAATGCAACAAATGAATGGACGTATTGAAGTTGAACAAGGGCAAACAACTAATCTTAATAAAAAAATTAAAGAATTACAAAGTCGTATTGAAGAATACGAAGAAGAAATTGAAAATGAAAGACAATTACGAAATAAAAGCGAAAAACAACGAGCTGATTTAGCAAGAACAGTCGATGAAATGAATGAACGATTAGAAGAAGCTGGTGGTGCAACATCAACACAAGTTGAAATGAATAAAAAACGTGAAACAGAATTAGCTAAACTTCGTCGAGATTTAGAAGAAGCTAATCTTCAACATGAAGCAACAACTGCACAATTAAGAAAAAAACATCAAGACGCTGTTAATGGTAATTTTTATTTATTTATTTTCTATGATTTAAATATTTTGTGAAACACCATAGAAAAGGACTGTTGAAGTATATAGAATAGAAATTTACAACTCTACCATTTCGCTATAAGCTATGACAGATACGTTAGAAACGACTTATCACGTACATGATGGCATGCTCAAGAGTTATGCAATTTCATTTTTTTTTTTTGATAAACTGTAACATCTATTTCTTGTCAATGATAAAATTGAATTTTTTCAAACTTTTATTATAGATAGAGACCATTTAAATCTTCTATCAGTTAAAATTTCATTGGTTAACCTTTTAATCGAGTTAAGCTATTTAGAAAATATCAGCCGTTGCGGAATGTCAAAAAATAAAATTTTCTTTAACAGAGCTAAGACTTTAGCATTTTACTAAGAAATGAAGTACTATGCAAATAAACTTTGTATATAAAAGTTGTGTCAGGACGAAAGTAAAAGAAGTTCCAAGCGACCCGATATTCGTCAGCATCATTGGATGCGCCACCAAATGATGTTTTTTTTTTCACTACAAGCCAACGAAAAAAGGCTTTCATTAACTAAGTACTCTATTCTTTTCAGAACTCGATGCTAATTCTGAACACGTGTAAATTTATGAATAAAAACAAGGATAAACACTGAGTTGTAGAAAACATATGCGAATATTAAATCAAACTGGCTGTCTTTGGTGAAGTTTGTTGAGCTCTATCTGGAGGAGATGCCTTATTCGGTTACCAATATTAGTAACATGAGCGTACGAAATACACTACAAGAGAGTTTCTTTATAGAATTTCATCAAACGTAGAGATGGTTTTGAACGCATTATCTTGGTTCATACACGTTTAATAGCCGCACTATGATCATATGTTGAATGAGCAGTTTATATTTGACAGAGAACTTGTTTGTTTTTTTCTGTTGATCGATTCATTTTTAATAATTTATTCCATTATCATCTTTTACACAAGCTTTTGAGTTGTCCACTCTAAGTAAGATTTTGCGTGTCTAAAACACTGAAATCTATTTAAGACTAAAAACGATTTTGTTTCGAGTGGTATTGTTCGTTCTCTTCTCAATGGAAGATGCAGCTTTCTTCTCTTTTAAGTTTGAACTTTTCTGAAGTATGGGTAACTGATGACTGGTCATGCAAATGACAAACTGTTTTATCAATGGCACATGACTAAGTGAAAGATGTCTTTACAATTCCCTTCCGCAAAGTGTACATCTAGGCGAACATTTGGTTAAACATGAAAATGGCGTTTTTTCAAGATTTGAATATAGCAAGATATACTTAAAAATATAATCCATCTAATGGTATAAATAGCTCTGTACAACTCTCAAAGAAACTAAAAACCAATTGTCCAAATATTAGTTTGTAAATCATGATGTTACCGAAAAAAATTGATATCTGAAAAAATAAAACTGTTCGACAGAGAAATCAAGTATAATTTCTGAGTCTCCAAACTAAGCTCTATATAATAGTAAAAAAAAATATTTTATTATTTACATGTTTAACTTTTGAAGAAAAAAAATTTTCTCGAGTATCGTCCGAAGTGCAAGCCTCACAAAATGAGCAATTCATCAGCATCCAACCTCCAAACTTTCCCAAATTTTACCAGACTGTTTTTCTGTCTCCTGTCTCGTATCTCTGTTAGCGCAAACATTCTTATATTATATACTAGGTTTTTGCAAAGCCTAGGATTTTTTAGGCTTTGAAAAAATATTTAATCGACAAAAGTAGTTTCTTCTGCATGAGAGTAGAAAACTGCATCCAATGATATATAAGACAAAACAACTTTGAAGAAAAATTGAGAGCAAGAATAACCTCAAGTATCTTTAGTTGAGAAACTTTTTTTCCCAAAAATATGTTTTTTTTTCTTAAAAATGCTTTTCTGTCATATTTTCTCGCGAAGAAATCTGTTTCGTAACAAGAAAGTTACCTGTCCACCTGCCATGTGAAAAACGCATACTGTATCTCTCCTCCGTGACTATCTGTGACAGGCGTTGTTGATATACAATGAAAGACTATGTATCAACAGCATCTAGTGATAATATATGAATTATTTCCTTACTATATCTCTAGAGGATGAAGTAAGGGAATGGTGAAAAAGCGTGTCTTCAAATAATTAGATAGAATAAAACAAAATCTCTGTGACTAATAACATCGTATTTCACATTTTTATCTCGTTAGGATTGTACTAACAGCTTATTTTGTTTTGTAAGAAATGGGAGAACAAATTGATCAATTACAAAAATTAAAAAATAAACTAGAAAAAGATAAGCAAACAATGAAATCAGAATTAGACGATCTTCGTGTACAAATTGATTATATACAAAAAGGTAAAGTCACTGCTGAAAAACTCTCCAAACAACTTGAACAACAATTAAATGACATTCATATTAAACTTGATGAACATGTTAAACAAATTACGGATTTAAATCATCAAAAATCAAAATTATCTAGTGAAAATTCTGATTTAGTTCGACAACTTGAAGAAGTTGAACAGCAAATAAGTATTTTAACAAAAGCTAAAGCAACAGTACAACAACAACTTGATGAAGCTAAAAGAATAATTGATGAAGAACTACGTGGTAAAGGTTCAGTTAGTAAGTTGCAGTTTTCTTTTGAAGATTAAAGATTTTATTGAATGTTTATTGAGGTTCACAAATACGTCATTTAACTGCCGATCTTGAACAAGCTCGAGAACAACTTGAAGAAGAACAAGAAATGAAAAGTGAACTTCAACGACAAATAACAAAACTTAATATTGAAATACAACAATGGAAAGCTCGTTATGAATCTGAAGGTTTTATTAAATAAATTATAAAATTTAATTTCTAAGAAAAAAAATGTTCCTTTTCTTTTTAGGTACTACTCGTAGTGAAGAATTGGAAGAAGCAAAACGAAAATTAGCTATAAAACTATCTGAAGCTGAAGAACAAGTAGAAGCAGCATTAAATAAATGTAATGCTTTAGAAAAAGTTAAAGTTCGTCTTCAAGGTGAAGTTGAAGATCTTATGATTGATGTCGAACGTGCTAATACAAGTAAGTCTATTTTAACTTATTATTATATCGAACTAATTTTTAAGATATTTTAATAGGAATTTTTTGAGAATAAAAAATCATTGTTTTAATTTTAACAATGTCTTGTATAAATAAAATAAATCTATTACAACCATAATGCAATAGGTTTTATCAAATAAATTAAAGAACTGTTACCGAACTATGGTTTCTATAAAAATAGTATCTGTGATTTCTAACAATGCACAAGATGAGATCTTCAATCAAAATAATAAAAAATTTTCTAAAGTCTGGAGTTTTATTGTTTCTTTTCCCTTACAAATGGTACTTAAATAATTTGAAAATAATGAATAATATGGTAAGAGATGCATACTGACTGTGAAATGTCAAAAAATTCGAGCTTTGTGAAGAATAACAACATTAATATCATTTTACAGTAATTTAATCATGAGTAAATCGATAAGAATTACTCATAGAAAAGAATTTTTTCTAAAATTAAGAACTTTTTTAATAGAAAATCTAGTATACTAATGAAAACTCATAGATTTCATAATAATACCGATGTTTTACATGATATTATAAAATTCAAATGTTCTAAAATTAACTGCTTGTTTCTTCGGTGAATCGAAGATATATCAAACTTTGATAAACATATCTGTTCGTCACGTTTTTAAATATCTAATTTTCGTTCTTCAATCAAAACCTAGTCTTCTATCTTTTCTTTTACGACTCAAAGGATTCCTTCTATCCTTTGTTCTTGTTAAATGACAACAGTTTTCCTAGTTTTCTTAGCTACAACAAGATATTAATAGCAAAATCAAATTATGGAATCATAAATGATCAGACATTTCGTTTACAGACAAGTCTACCAGTCATTAAAAAGTCTTACAACTTTCAACTCAAAAGAATTTATTCGTAAAATTTTGAATTCTAGTAATTCTTGATTTGTTTTGGTTTTACCTTGCGATATATGATGGCTTTCTTGATATACAATATTTGAAGAATCTTGTCTTTCGATTTAAAACTTTTAAAACATTCTAATGACTATGAAACTTTTCGATAAACAAAACTTCAAAGCAAAAATTTCATGATCTGATTTTTCTATAAATACTGTATTCTGGTTAGAATGCTATCAAAACGATCCGAGCTTAATAAAAGAAAAGTAGAAAAAAAACTCATTGGTCAGACTTGTCCTAGTGTCATAAGAACCCTACTGATTAGGAAAATATTTGTTTAATGAAAGATTTACACTTGAGTATCTTTCCTAACTAGTTGACTTCCTTCTTTGATAGCATGAACAAAAAAATATTGTTTTATGTTTTTTATGGTTATTTCAAAGCGGTAGTATTCATAGAAATTGATCTGAGGAAGTTTTTAACATCTTTTATATGGGAAATTTTTCTATTCAAGTACTTAATACAAATTTAAACATATAACATAGATTTTCATAATTAGTTAATGAAAAATAATATATTTATATATGTTAAGATGCTTCGACAATGGATAAAAAACAAAAACAATTTGATAAATTAATAAATGAATGGAAACAAAAATGTGAAGACATGACTATTGAACTTGAAGCATCACAAAAAGAAGTACGTCAATATTCAACTGAATTATTTAAACTTAAAAGTCAATATGAAGAATCACATGAACAAATTGAAGCACTTAGAAAAGAAAATAAGAATTTAGCTGATGAAATTAAAGTAAAAAAAAAGATGTTTAGAAAAAAAATAGTTTTTAATTAAACAGTTCTTTAATACATAGGATCTTATGAATCAATCAGGTGAAGGTGGAAAGAATATTCATGAAATTGATAAAGCTCGTAAACGTGCTGAATTAGAAAAAGAAGAATTACAAGTTGCTTTAGAAGAAGCTGAATCTGCATTAGAACAAGAAGAAGCTAAAGTTCTTCGTGCACAAATGGAACTAAGTACAGTACGTCAAGAAATTGATCGACGAATTCATGAAAAAGAAGATGAATTTGAAAATACAAGACGTAATCATGCACGTACCATTGAATCAATGCAAGCAAGCGTAGAAGCTGAATCACGATCAAAAGCTGAAGCACTTAAACAAGTAAAATAAATTTCAAATCTAAATCTAATTTTTTTTTTTCTATTTCAAATATTTATTGAAGAAAAAAAAACTTGAATTAGACATAAATGAACTTGAAGTTACACTTGATCATGCTAATCGTACAAATGTTGATTCACAAAAAACATTAAAAAGACTTCAACAAAATCTTTCAGATTTACAAATACAAATTGAATATGAACGACAACAACGTGATGAAGCTCGTGAAGTAGCTGCTAATGCTGAACGTCGTTCTAATCTTATTTCAAGTGAAATTGAGGAATTACGTACTGCTTTAGAACAAGCTGAACATGCTCGTAAAGCCGCTGAACATGAATTACATGATATTGTTGATCGTATTAGTGATTTAAGTACACAAAATGCTAATTTATCATCACAAAAGCGACAACTTGAATCAACAACTTCGGCTATGCAATCAGATTTAGATGAAGCTATTAGTGAACTAAAGAATAGTGAAGAACGAGCAAAGAAAGCTAGTAAGTAGAAGTTTAAAAAAAAAAGTAAAAGAAATATGATAAAAAATTGTATTCTTTAAATATAAGATTCATAAAATGAAAGATAAACTAATGAACTCGCTATAGATTTATCTGACTACAACTATGAAAACTTCAGTTACTGTTGATCAGAAACGAATAACTATTTTTTACATTTTTTGATTACGATAAATAATTATAAAAATGGTATATGATGCAAGCAAGAGTCATCGAGTCGAAAAGAAAACGTTAACCATTAACAGATCAATTAAAATGCAAATCGGTCTTTCTGTATATCACTAATAAAATGCTAACAACGATTCCATTCAGGAGGATGTTCAGTGACAAATTGAAAGTGTATTTTTTTAATGATTTACGTAAAAAGAGCAATATATACACTGACCAATGGGTTATTTTGGTGAACTAAAAATCTTTGTTTCTCTCGTTAGTAATAGTCGAACAAACGCCATCGATTAGGATTTGGAGTCCTTTTTTACTGTATATAAAAAAACAACAAGAGGATAATATTTCGAAGAAAATCATATATGATTTGAAATTATGTTTTTTACTTTATGAATTCGTAAAGAAAAGCTTTCGGTTTTGTCTGTTTGGAATTTGCAAAGCGCATTCTTCATTAATATTGAGTGCCTGTATGAAAACATGTGTTCAATGTCATGGGTTTGCACACTTTTCTACAATTCTGAAGCAGACGAAACTTCTATAGAATATTTCTCACCTATAACACCTATATGACATTGGCGCAAGTATTCCAGGCATAAACTAAGGATTTTCTAGAAACCCTCGATTTTCAGGATCAAACTCATTTTTCTCGACATAGAAACCCATATTGAAGAGTAACTTCATATTTAGAATCAGCATCAAATGATGTTTAATTTATTAGTCGTCTGATCAAAATTTTTTTACGTGTATATAGTGTAACTATTATTCATTAAGATATTGATCGAGTTTCTAAGCGAATCGTTCATTCTTATGATAGAAGATGCCAAATGACATTATATTTTTATAAATGCACAAAATATCCATCTAATATGATGAATAATAGGTGCTGATACTGCACGTCTTATCGAAGAATTACGTCAAGAACAAGAACATGCAGTTAATGTTGAACGATTACGTAAAGGTCTTGAACAGCAAGTTAAGGATCTTCAAGTACGTCTTGATGAAGCTGAAGGACATTCACTTAAAGATGGAAAACGTGTTTTGGCTAAACTTGAACAACGTGTAAGAATTTTTATATTGCGTTTGTAAAGAGAAAATACTTTTTTGTCTTATTGTTGATTTAGATACATGAATTAGAGAATGAAAATGAATTAGAACAACATCGTCATCAAGAAACAATTAAAGAATTACGTAAAAATGATCGTCGTTTGAAAGAATTAGTATGTCAAGCAGAAGAAGATAGAAAAAATCAATTACATTTAAAAGGTCTCGGTGAAAAATTACAAAATAAAATTAAAGTTTACAAACGTCAAGTTGAAGAAGCTGGTTAAAAAAAAAAACTTTAAATACAATGCTTGTTTTTTGAAATTTATTATGTTTTTTTTAGAAGAAATCGCTGCAATCAATTTAGCTAAATTTCGTAAAGTTCAGTCTGAACTTGGTATGTTATTTAAACCCTCTGTCATGAACCTATTTTTGACGCTCAACAATTGATCCGATCAAATTTTTAGAAGTAGCAAGTTCGAATTAAGAAAGTTTACAGTAAAAAAATGCAGTTCAAAATATTGAGTAGTTCAAAGGTTATCTCTCCATTAAGGATCAAAGAGTAGACCTTACATATCTTCTCGAAATCTAATGATATAAAATTTTAAAGTAGCATCAAAACCTTGTCAACACTTGTTACTAAAATTCAAAAGATTCTATTGGTTAAAATTGTCTTTGTTGACTTTTCATAATATTTTTTCTAAAAAAGTTCAAAACATCGGAGATAAGCCATTCCAAAAATATCCATTTTTTTTCAAAAGTCTTAGGAGCAATGAATAATCTTGCTTTGTATTACTGTAAAGCATAATTTTCTCTTGTGTTTGAGATCTTCATGGGTTTTGTAGCATTGAAAATGGCTAAGAAATTGAGACATTCAAGCAACAAAGGATATAAAAATCACTAATCTGTATGAAAATTGAAATTTCTGATACGAGACAAACATTTACATAGAAAAATGAAACATTTATAATTAAACTCTTTTTCAGAAGATGCAACTGAACGAGCTGATTTAGCTGAAAATCAACTTAATAAATTACGTGCCAAAAATCGTTCATCGGTTAGTACTAGTGGTACTTCCCTAGCAGTAAGTTGTTCGATAGAAAAAAAAACCAAGACTAAATTTTGCTTATTCTGTTCTAGAATGATTTACGTGAATCAAGTTCTAACCAACGGGGAAATTCAAAAGTTCGTGCTGTTTCAGTTCATCAACGTTAAATTACATATGTAAACGTGAATGAATATTTTACTAATACTGAATGCGCTTGTACCTCTCTCTCTTAATCATCGTGTAGCTGTTCACTTGTTGCCGTGCCTTTGTTTTTCTGCACTTTTAAAAAAATATAGTCATATATCAGATATTAATATAAGTGTATTTTTACAAATGAATAAGTAGAAAAGATATTGAAATAATGTGAACAGTAAGTATTTACCAAATAATATGATGGTTGCAAACTATACATTACATAGGTACAAGATGTTGATAGAATAATAGACGTAGGTTACAAATGAAATGCATTTTGCTATTGAAAGAAAAAGAAAGACAATGAATTTGCAAATCTTTTCAAAGAATGAAATTTATTTGTATATAACTGTTTTTTTTATAAGTCATCGTTGGAAAAGGGTGGAAGTTCGTTTTTATTTTCACTCTCGAGAGCGATGACTATACATAACTAAGCTCTACAATGACGGCGATCGGCTAGTTTTGTAAACTAGAAAATCTACCGACAATATAGTGAGACTATCATTGTCGACATTTGACCACCGATATATTTACAAAGATGCACACAATAGCTTTTTATATTCTTGAAAGACACAAGTTATATCGTTCTATTATTTCGATACATAGTTTTTCACATCGTTGCTAGTACAGTGTATGTGTTGGTGAAAAGAGTACTCTCAACAATACTTACACCTAACATATACGAATATCAACATCATTTTTTGCTAATATATCATCCAATGGGTCTGTATGCAACATCGGACTAATATAAACTGATGCGCCGTTATTTTTTAATGCTCCCTCTTAACAAGATCAATGATGACATTGCTGTAAAAAAAAATGTAGTTGATGAAGAGCTCTGTCAAAAAGAAGATTCTAACGCGTAAGTTCCAATCAAACATATGAATCTGTTTTGAACTCGTAAGATCGAAATGTCAAGAGAATCAATGATGTTTCTTATCAGATATTTTCCTCAGTCATTCAATTTTAGCTCTATTCAGCAGTTCTTAATCTTGATGGACCAATCACGAAGATTTGAACAGTTAAACATGGATCTTCAATTTCAATGTCAAATGTAAAAATGAACTTCGTGAAATTTCCATAACAGTTAACCTTATATGAAGTTGTGCATCAGTCCAATGTCTTTTGAAAAGGATTGATCGATTGGGTGCTTTATAAGTAGCTAAATCTGATGTCCACCCTGATGGAAAGAAGCTCAAGCCATATAAATGCTCTCTATGACAACTTCTACAAGTTTCATGATCTTGAAAGGAAATACTCCCAATCAAAGATCACTCAGCGTTTTAACTTGCGAAATTCATCAAATAATGAAAAATGAGGACTTCCGTTACTGATTCATATGTCTCAAGCACAAAAAAATGATTATGATGATGACAAAGAACAGAGTTGCATTCATATATTACTCGAAAAAGCTGCAAAATATTGAAGAAACGCTCTGCCTTTCTCCTGATCGAAAAAAACTTAGAAATTTGCACAGATGTAAAGACCAGAAGCAGTCGTCGAAATCTCTTATGCATTCTATTGTTCTTTCTTTAAAACAAGCAGCTTTCTAAAAGATAAATCGAAGAGATCATTTTTAAGATACTATTATCAAGAGTCGAACTAGTGGTTCCTATTGCAATTCGTCGACGTCGTTTGTCAAAATATGTACAGTATGGAAGAGATCATATTCGCGCTGAAAAAATTATGAATCTTTCCATTCGAGATCAAGTAATGAAGTTGCTAGAATGAGTCAAATTCAAAGATTTATATTTGACTCGATTCCATTCAGCTTTGATCTATAGTAGTGTAGAAGTCGTTACGAATTAACCAATTTTAAACTGAAATTTTTAATTCAAGTATTCTACCTTTGTGCGTTAAAATCTCATCAATTCGTTCATGTAAACTGTATTTTTGTGAGTCTGAAAAAAATCACTGTTTATGGTCCAAGAGCCATTCTGGATGGTATTTAGTCATTATTACTTCAAAAATGTTTTTGTGCACAAGGTCTTTTATATATTCTGATAGAAATAAAACTTCTACGTCGAATGAGTCTATTTTCAATGAATCTTACACAAATAACAATGCACTTTTCCAGCAAAAACTAACTTTTTAGTCTTACAAAAATACCCCTATGCCTGTTATTACTCGTTGAATTTTAAAAGAAAATGTGATATTCATGCTCAACACATTGTGTTCTATTGATCTATAAAAAAACATAAGTAGAACAAACACAAAAACTTTTTTCGAAAACCTCGGGGCAGTATCCCAGGCATAAAAAGATCGGTTTTTCATAAAGTACAAAATTAAGTTGTGAATAATCTTGAAGCTTCGTCAAGCTATTAAACTGGAATTCAGTTTTTGTCTTATTCGAGTAGTACACGAATTTTGGTGGATATATCATCATTAAGGATAAAAGTAAGCTGGCAACCGTTATTAGGGACTGTGTTTTTTCTAAATGATTTTAAACATCTACGTTTGATGCTATGCATTTCGTCCAGATAAAATCAGTTGCTGATGAAACTTTAACTTATGATACAACTCGACACGCTCTACAATATTGCTAGTGAAACCTTTCTTGTTTTTCTAAATGAGAACAGTGAGAAAGAATGTTTCATTTTCAATGGAATGTAAAGTGATCATGAATGCAGTCAAGCACAACAAGTGAGATTTCCCCACTGTTATTACGGACACTGACTGTAACAATATATGGATTTCTCCCAGTTAATTCATCGGATGATGCATGTGCATCGATGTTCTTCTTTTCTTTCGTTGTTAGTTATGCGTCATAGATTTTTCTTTTTCTGTCCTATATGTATATCTGATGGTTTTTGCCCTTTCTGTCATATGTATAGGTGATGTTTTTTCCTTTTGCTCATATATATCATGGACATTTTCTTGCCTCTGATCTTCTTTCTGTGACTTTGCTTTACGCATGTTCGTTTCTTCTTCATAATCTATAGGGTTTTTGCCATTTGACCGTCTTATATATCCTCTTTTCAAAATTAACTACACGCTATTTTTTTTGATTATTTCTCCATACTATTGCAATTCGGTCCAATTTTTATATCACAGATACATGTTTGATTATTCAACTTATCCAGAAAGTTTCAACCCTATATGGTGAGAATTGATGGAGAAAAATACTAATATGTCTTTGACACTCACATATTACTGAAGTCAAATTTTGGTATTTTATTGATTTCTTAGTTGTTTTAAATATTATTTGAGATTTCGATTGATAGTTAGTTATGCCTTAGACATGTTTTTATAAAAAGACATCTTTGGTGATATTCATATATCATTAATAGATATTAGAAAGGAGATATACATGTTTATATGATATACTTTTTTCTTCCTTTTATCTTTCGATGTTTGAATTTTT